TTCAACTCCAGGTGGGTGATGAATGAATGAATGAATTAAATTGTAGTTTTTTTAAAATGTCATATTACTATTAATTAAATATTATATTTTAATAAAGGATATTTTAAATTTTATTGTCTCGCCGGGGTGGCCTAATGGGTAAGATGTAGGCTTGGAAACACGAGTATGAACAAAGATGCGGGTTCAATCCTGGTAAGAACTATAAAAACTTTCAAGTTTTTCTTCGATGACTGATGTGTAAAGACATATGGTAAGATAAATTTTAGAGCTTAGAGATGACACCCCGGTCACCGACAGGCCTGGACAGCTGGGTGCTAAGGATACCTGTCCAATAAACAAAATGAAGGGCACAAATGAAAATATGAATATGAAAGCTAGGGCGTTCCCTCCATGCGACGTGCAGGGTGTAGACCTCCATCCTGTGAAAAATAAAGTAAAGGTCAAAGCAAAGAAGACAAGACTGGCAAGTTTGAATATTGGGACGCTTAAAGGTAAGACGAGAGAATTGGCATCAATGTTGAACAGGAGAAAAGTTGATATAGCGTGCATACAAGAGACGAAATGGAAAGGACAGAAGACTTTGATGATTGGAGATGGGTATAAATTGTACTATAATGGACTTGTTAGCAATAGGAACGGTGTCGGCATCATCCTCAGTCAAGATCTAACCTCCTCAGTTGTAGAAGTCAACAGGATCTCTGATAGACTAATGAAGATAAAACTCTGCATTGGTCAATCAATACTACACATCCTATCAGTATATGCTCCTCAAACGGGTTGCAAGGAAGAAGAGAAAGATGACTTTAGAGCTATCCTTGATGAAGCTGTAATGGAAATCCGTAAGGATGACCTAGTCATAATTGGTGGTGACTTAAATGCGCATGTGGGAAAAGCAAGAGATAGCTACAAAAGGCATCATGGTGGTTTTGGATACGGAGAAAGAAATAAAGAGAGCAAGTACTGAAATTTGCGCAAGCCTTCGACCTTGCCTTAACCAACACCTACTATAGGAAAAAAGATAGTCATTTAATAACATATGAAAGTGGTACTAGGAAAACACAGATAGATTACATGCTAATCTCTCGCAGAAGATTAAAAGATGTAATAGACTGCAAAGTCATCCCAGGAGAAGATATCGCCGCCCAACACAAGCTACTAATCATGGATTTACAAATCTCAAATAAATCCACTCAAAATAAGATAAAACTGGAACCATGCATCAAATGGGGCAAATTAAAAACAATGACAGATGCCTTTGCAATCAATGCAAACATTGAAACAATAAATTGCTCACAAGTCAGTGAAACAGATTAATAGACACTGCAAAATCGACGCTAGGCTTGACAAGAGGAGGCAACAAATCACACAAAGAACTATGGTGGTGGAATCAAGAGGTACAAACCACTATACAGGAGAAAAAAGCCCTTTATAAAATATGGTACAAATCCAAAAATGCAGATGACAAGTCAAGATACAAAAAATCCAAGAGATTAGCTACAAAGGCGGTGGCTAGGGCCAAATCTATGGCATACGATGACATGATGCCTTTTGTAGCTATCTCTTGCTTTCCCCACATGCGCATTTAAGTCACCACCAATTATGACTAGGTATCCTTAGGGATTTCCATTACGGCTTCATCAAGGATAGCTCTAAAGTCATCTTTCTCTTCTTCCTTGCAACCCGTTTGAGGAGCATATACTGATAGGATGTGTAGTATTGATTGACCAATGCAGTTTTATCTTCATTAGTCTATCAGAGATCCTGTTGACTTCTACAACTGAGGAGGTTAGATCTTGACTGAGGATGATGCCGACACCGTTCCTATTGCTAACAAGTCCATTATAGTACAATTTATACCCATCTCCAATCATCAAAGTCTTCCTGTTCATTGATGCCAATTCTCTCGTCTTACCTTTAAGCGTCCCAATATTCAAACTTGCCAGTCTTGTCTTCTTTGCTTTGACCTTTACTTTATTTTTCACAGGATGGAGGTCTACACCCTGCGCGTCGCATGGAGGGAACGCCCTAGCTTTCATATTCATATTTTCATTTGTGCCCTTCATTTTGTTTATTGGACAGGTATCCTTAGCACCCGGCTGTCCAGGCCTGTCGGTGACCGGGGTGTCATCTCTAAGCTCCGAAATTCATCATACCATATGTCTTTACACATCAGTCATCGAAGAAAAACTTGAAAGTTTTTATGGTTCTTACCAGGATTGAACCCGCGTCCTTGTTCATGCTCGTGTTTCCAAGCCTACATCTTACCCATTAGGCCACCCCGGCGATATAAAAATCATATTAAATATATATTATTAAATTTAAAATAGTTGTAAATATATTGTTAATAAAAAATTTAATATAAAATTGATAAAAAAGACCAATATACTTGGTGTTTGAAATGATACTTTATTTTTTTTTTGTTTACATGACAAGATTTTCACTGGATGTAGATATCTATCATAAATCTATATACAGCGTCTACATGAGCGGGAGAGGTAGGAACAGTTTGCATCCTATTTTTTGAAGGGGTGGGTGGTAGGCTGCCTTAATGGGGGTAGGATAAAAATATTTTGGGGTTATCTATTAAATCTTGAGATGAAATAAGACAAAATTTATTGCTGTAAAAATTAATACTTTTATTATGGAATTATTATAATACAATTCATCGACCAAATCTATATATTGCAAACAATCATACACATTGTTTTCCAAATAAACTATCCTTTAAAATGTAATTTAAGGTTTAGATATTTCAGCAAGCTCATAATGCCATAATAATTAATTCATTGTAAATAATGGGAGTTTTAATTGAATTTATTATCTAAAAAATAAATTCTTTATATTCACAAAATATCGATAGTTGGTAGTAGAGATAGATTAATTTAAGTTATCCTTTATAAATTCTTTGAAAAGAGTATCAATAAATTAAATAGGTAAAAATAATAATAAAAAGAACGCATACTTAATAATATTATATATATATATTAAAATTTATTATAATATCCCCCTTAAAATATATATTTGTTATTAAGTATTGAATATAACTATTGATAAAATCTTTTATTGCCATTTAAAATATTTTTGTAAAACGCCTTGTTAATAATATAATTTATAATTATATACTAAAATTTATTAAAATTTCTTCCTTAAGATATATATTTGTATTAAGTATTTTAACTATTGATAAAATTTTTTAATGCTTTTTAAAATAATTAAAAATTTATAAAACGCATACTTAATAATATTATATATATATATTAAAATATATTATAATATCCCCCTTAAAATATATATTTGTTATTAAGTATTGAATATAACTATTGATAAAATCTTTTATTGCCATTTAAAATATTTTTGTAAAACGCCTTGTTAATAATATAATTTATAATTATATACTAAAATTTATTAAAATTTCTCCCTTAAGATATATATTTGTATTAAGTATTTTATCTATTGATAAAATTTTTTAATGCTTTTTAAAATAATTAAAAATTTATAAAACGCATACTTAATAATATTATATATATATATATATTAAAATTTATTATAATATCCCCCTTAAAATATATATTTGTTATTAAGTATTGAATATAACTATTGATAAAATCTTTTATTGCATTTAAAATATTTTTGTAAAACGCCTTGTTAATAATATAATTTATAATTATATACTAAAATTTATTAAAATTTCTCCCTTAAGATATATATTTGTATTAAGTATTTTATCTATTGATAAAATTTTTTAATGCTTTTTAAAATAATTAAAAATTTATAAAACGCATACTTAATAATATTATATATATATTAAAATTTATTATAATATCCCCCTTAAAATATATATTTGTTATTAAGTATTGAATATAACTATTGATAAAATCTTTTATTGCCATTTAAAATATTTTTGTAAAACGCCTTGTTAATAATATAATTTATAATTATATACTAAAATTTATTAAAATTTCTCCCTTAAGATATATATTTGTATTAAGTATTTTATCTATTGATAAAATTTTTTAATGCTTTTTAAAATAATTAAAAATTTATAAAACGCATACTTAATAATATTATATATATATATTAAAATTTATTATAATATCCCCCTTAAAATATATATTTGTTATTAAGTATTGAATATAACTATTGATAAAATCTTTTATTGCCATTTAAAATATTTTTGTAAAACGCCTTGTTAATAATATAATTTGTAATTATATACTAAAATTTATTAAAATTTCTCCCTTAAGATATATATTTGTATTAAGTATTTTAACTATTGATAAAATTTTTTAATGCTTTTTAAAATAATTAAAAATTTATAAAACGCATACTTAATAATATTATATATATATATTAAAATTTATTATAATATCCCCCTTAAAATATATATTTGTTATTAAGTATTGAATATAACTATTGATAAAATCTTTTATTGCCATTTAAAATATTTTTGTAAAACGCCTTGTTAATAATATAATTTATAATTATATACTAAAATTTATTAAAATTTCTCCCTTAAGATATATATTTGTATTAAGTATTTTATCTATTGATAAAATTTTTTAATGCTTTTTAAAATAATTAAAAATTTATAAAACGCATACTTAATAATATTATATATAAATATTAAAATTTATTATAATATCCCCCTTAAAATATATATTTGTTATTAAGTATTGAATATAACTATTGATAAAATCTTTTATTGCCATTTAAAATATTTTTGTAAAACGCCTTGTTAATAATATAATTTGTAATTATACACTAAAATTTATTATAATTTCTCCCTTAAGATATATATTTGTATTAAGTATTTTAACTATTGATAAAATTTTTTAATGCTATTTAAAACAATTATTAAATTTGTAAAACACATGTTTAATAATATTATTATGAATTATATATATTAAAATATATTATATTCTCACCCTTAGATTTATATTTGTATTAAGTATTTTATATAACTATTTGTTGTCTTTAATTTTTATTTTTTTAGTGGTATTTTAATTTTTAGCGATTATTACTTTAGCGATTTAGAACGGGAACTGAACCATATTTACAACTAGGTTTGGCCTATCCTCGGCCTATTTTGGTCAAGTTGTTTTAGATAGAAATCTTTATTTAATCTATATTTAGATAGAAATCCTTATTTAATCTATATTTTATGGTACAATAGCAATTCTAAACGTCAATGGAAAACATTACGGACTCAATTTCATATATTCAACCTCAAGAATATTTTTTACAGGGAGTTATAACGGAAAATAATTTAGAAAATGCATTACAAAAATTAAAAGGAATTAGTGATGACGGTGATGGGCCTTTAAAGGAATTCAGCGATTATGAAATTGGACTTATTTTACAAAGTTTATTTTTTAAATTATTTTACCAAAAGCTAATACCTAGAAAATACACCATTATCTTCAAAAATTTCTTCATCATTTAGAATGAAAATCAGACGGTCACTATCTCAATTTAGTTTACCCCATTACATTCGATATCAAGGTCCTATAGAAAATACAGACAAAACTATGTCAACCTTGTATAGGGCATCTATAGATGTGCCATGTTCATCTAATGTATTATCATTCTTCATGGATATGGGTTTTCAGTTAATTTATATATTTATATAATATAATGAAAATATATTTAATGCTTAGACAAGAATATGAATATATTGCCAAGGGCTACATATTTCATAAAGGCAAGTTGAAAATAACCTTATCTAAAATTTTTAATGTAAGTGATGACTTTTTTGGCATTTGTTATATAATACATTTAACATCAGATAATTAGCCCCAACAATTATGAAATATTGCAACCTCTATCTTCATCTTATGTTATTGATTTTAGCATAATTGCTCCTCCAAGTCAGGTTGATAATAAATTTTATTTTTTAAATTTTTTATTAGCAAGTAAAAAATAGTAAAAAATTAAAATTATAATCATAAAGAATTTTTAAACCTATTTCCTTAATAATAAAATGTATTTTTAAAATAGCTTAGAGGATATTTAAGAGAAAAAATTTAAATATGACATTTATTCTTTAAAAAAAATATAGAAATGCTTGTCTGAAATTATTAAAGTATTTGCTGACCAATTGAAGCCGTATATTAATTCTAAGAAAATAATATTTTTATCTGCATATATATAGGATAGCCAGAATTGAAAAGATCAACATATTAAGACCATCGAACATGTTATAATTGTATTTGAAAAATAAATGAACTACATATAATGTACCCTCAAAATTTAATTACAATTTTATATTAAATTTTCTTTGTAGGATTGATCTGTTTTAAAATACGTGAGGTAATTTCCTTCAAATTGGCTGGTTTGCAATATTCTTCTACCCAATATAGTATAGATTTGGAAAGCTCTTTAAAATTACTAATGTTTATAGTGGTATTAAATGTTAGGAAGAGAAAGTCCATTATCATATGAAAAATCTAAAAATTAGATATTTTAAAAATTAAAAAAAATATATAAATAACATGTATACTATTTACAAAATAACATATATAGAAACTAAATATTGTACTTGAAATTAGTGCTTAAATGCATAATTTTTTTTTGGATCTACCCAAGCCTTTATTAAAAAAGAACCTAACCATTATTAAAAAAATATAAACGAATTTAAAATAAAGATGTGTATGATTCAGTTAGAGCCTTAATTTGAGAAAAAACATAAATTGGTCCAGCAAAAAGAGATACTCTGGATCAAAATTATTTTAATAGAAAATTAAATTGCTTTTGTATTGAAATGATCAAATAAATTCACTGGTATTATGACAAACAATTAGTAATAAACAACTCATTTTTTTTTCTAAAGAGATTTTTGAATCAAATTTTTTTTTTATGGGAACTATCTCAAATGCTGATACTCTCTTTAATTTTTTTAGAATCCATCTTAATTTATATTAATATTTCAGATTGTTTATTTTTTTTGTATATTTATTCCTTGTAATAAAGTTATTTCTACAAATAAATACAATATTTGAAAGCATCAATCCCTAGATTGGGATTACGCTTGTAGCCCTGAGTAATTAAAAGCCTTAAAAAAATATTTTGACTGGGGAGATCTAAATGAGGGGTCTTACCAATGACAGGGAATCTCTTTAGAGACTTGTCATTTAACTTCTTGAGCATCCCTTTTGGATACACCTTTTTTAAAATGATTTATTTATCAAACTTTTTACAATCCTTTTTTTTAGAAAATTTATTTATGTCCCTTAGTTCTTAATATCTTACAATATAATTGGCAATATAAACAACTCCATATAATACATATATTTTAATGGGTAAATTGAATAAAAATTATTTATTAATTATATGTAGTGTTTAAATATTTTTGATGATTATTAAAATTTAATTTATGTTATAATTATATCGTAAAATAAACGCGTTATGTTCAAGCGTTGCGTTATTACAAAAATATATTTATAAATATGTAAATATGCAATACGATTATAAAAATAATAGCTAATTCGATTAAAAGGGTATATGATTTTTTAAAAATATTATATAAAATAATTATCTCATTTTAGCTTTATCAATTTAGTTTTAAAATTGAATCAGCTTTGATAAGCTGCGTTAAATAACGTAGCACTTGAAGATAACGCGTTCACTATAAACGCGTAAGGATTCTTTAGGATGGCCTAATTCTTTTTCTAATCTCCTTTGGGATGGTAAGTGTCCCATAGCCGAAGTTACCAAGAGTTAATGTAACGATACGAATTAAATTAATGTTATTTAATTGAATATTTGTTTTTCAATCACGAAAGAGTTTTCGTGGGTGTTAGATTTTATGATATCTGCTAGGCAAGTGTAATCCCAAGTAGGGACCCAAACCGTTATGAATAAATGAACCGGTTTGGTTATGGTTCAGTTGCTTAAAATGATAAAGGTTACGGTTCTGTTAAGGTTTAAAAAAAATTATAAGATTTCAGGTTTTATAATATAAATTGCATTAATATTAGATTTACATTTATGAATAAAATAAAAATGAAAAAATATTAAAAGCGCGAAAAAAATTATAATTATAAAAACTTCCCAGGTAAAGGAAAAGTGTAAGTTTTCAAATATTATGGCTTAAGTTATAAATTATATATATAATAAAACGGTTTTAAACCGGTTCAATAAATATATAAAGGAATCGGTTTGCTTCTTTTATCTGTTTGGTTAAGGTTCAGTAAATTATAACGGCTCGTTCTAGTTTAAGAGTTTGGTTCGCTCCGGGTCCCTGCAAGCAAAATGGATAACTTTCCCATGGAATTAAGGTTAAACTAGCCTTTTATCATCTGAAGTATTGAGACCTAAGGGATCGAATATAAAATATTGGATCTTCTTAATGCTTTGAGTATTAAATTATTAACTGCACATGATGTCCATATTCAATACTGACTGAGAACAGGTGAAGCTATAATGCAACCAGTACCAGCTTTAATCTATTGAACCAAAATTTTTCGGTCAAATTTTGTAAACACAGGTACCATGATAAAAAAAATTTTTAAGGCAAGACCCAAATTAATTTCTTTAAATTTGGGTCATGCTAGCTTGAAAATGGGAAAATTCTTTAATCCAGTCCAGGCCAAAGGATTTGATTTCTTCAAGTTTCATCTCTTTATAGCATTAAGACTGAATCTGACCTTTAATAATTAAATGATACATTGGCTTGCAATTCTGTCTTTTTTTAAGAATGATTTAAAAATTTATTTAAAATCAGATAAATATTTTTCCAAACTCTTAAAATTCCCAACTGAACCTGAACTGAAACAACACTTTTACAACACTAAATCAGACTTCTTCTAATTTCCCTTTAAAAACAATATAACAAAATGTTGTCACTTTGCATAAATATAAAATAATAATTAGATAGTTATCTCAAGTTTCTACCTGCGATTTAATTTCTCTGTTAGTAGAATATGCATCATACTGTTGAGGAGACAAAAGATTTGAAGGTCTATTATGGTCATTATTTTTAGTTGCTTGATTTTTTGCAATTTTATTTTCATTTTTTATCAATAGTATTGATTGATAATTCGTTTTCATTATATTCATAGCTTCGACTTCTTTCTTTAACTTATTCATTTCATTTTCTTGATCCTTCACATGTTTTTGTAAATTTGTTACATATTCTTGCACTATAAATAAATAAAATATACAATAAAAATAGATAACCCTTTTCCTTTGTTCCACTTCAATATTTAATTTTAAGTTCATATTAAAGTAGATAACAGCATAATCTGTTCATTATGAATTTTTAAAGTTCTTGACCCAGCCCTTAAAATTTTGGTAGAATCGAATAAATACAGACTCAATAAAATGTGATTTATTTAATTTATATCCTGATTAGAATCGAATAAATACAGACTCAATAAAATGTGATTTATTTAATTTATATCCTGATTTGCCAATTATACAAAAAATAGTGAACGTTAATAATCAAAATCAAATGACAGGACCAAAAATTGATAAGATTAGTGAAGGTCACGGAAGATCGATCCAGACCGTGGTCCTAAATAAAAAGACCGTCTTTTTATTTGTTTAAAAAACACATTTTTTTACCTAATTTAATTTGTTTTATCATTTTATTAAATATAAAAGTATTATATAAACAATAAAATTTATCCAATGGTATTGAAGAAAGTGATTTTGTGCTTGTGGAGGGTATATTAAAATTAAGAGATTATGTTTTATGAGATATTTTCATTTTCATTAATAGAAGTATATATTTTATGTTTTATCAGATGTCTGCTTAAGGTACCTAATTATTTTATTTAGAATAAGGTTAGTAATTTTTACAATAAATTATACAGACAGTTCTTAAGAAAAAATAGAACATAATAAACAAAATATTTTAATAATATTACTGCTTAATGTGATCAATTTATTGCTTAAAAAATTATAAACAATTATTTTGTTACTAGTTGCTGACGATACATTAAATTTGGTACTGCAGTGAACATATACTCTATGTTTTTTATTGGGACTAAAGTAAAATGTTTCTTGGACAAACTTATGGTTTTCATATTGTAAATAAAAATTAACAAAATCTAAAATAACTCATCTAAAAAAATATTATAATATAAAATATACAAAAAAATTATATTAATTGAATAGTAAAGCAAACTTAAATAATAATAAAAGACCGGTCCGAACCACGGTCCTTAAAAAAGATCGGTCCGGTCACCTCGGTCTAAGACCAATAGGACCGGACCGTTGACCTTCACTAGATAAGATTGATACGAAAACCGCAGACGATTTTTTTATGTCCTGCAAAACCCAATTGAGTGACTCCTTAACGAAGATAAAGTTTTGGTCAATATATATAAAAAATATTATTTTAAAGTAGGGGTGTACGGATACCACTTTTTGGAAGCCAATCCGATATTCCCAATATTAAATTGATATCGACCGATTACCGATCCATCATATCTAAAATTTTGTATTCTGTAAAGGTATCAATGTTTTTAATTTTTAATAGGGATGTACCGATATTTTTTATTATAAAATTTGCCGATTCGTTCCCATATAAAATGGCGTCTTTAACAAAAATAAAATGTGATAAATTTTTTAAAAAAAGTTATATCTAAAATCATTTTATTAATAAAATCGAAATCCATATTTTTTTTAATAATAATAATTAATTAATAAACATTCTGCCATATTGTTATTTTTTTGCGCATTCTTTTTATAAAATTGTGCGATAATTTTTCAGAATATGTTTTTAGTAAAACTGGTGATATTGACAGTTACCATCGCCGCAGGCTGATTTCTGATAAATTGGAAATTTTGGTATTTCTAAAAAGAAATCTTCGATATATTAATGTTAAATTTTATTTTAAATATTTATTCAAATTTCATAATATATTTGTTTATTACTTATTATGTATATAATTATTGTTGTTACTAATTATATAAAAGTGATTTAACAATAAAAATATTTTATATACTTTTAGAATTTCAATAGAATTGAATATAAACTATAACCGATCATTATAATTGACATAAGTTATGGTATAATTAAATTATAGATGTTATATTAATAAAAAGTATATTACAAATTAAAACCATTGGTATCTTTACAGAATACAAAATTAGATATAATATCGGATCGGTAATCTGCCGATATTAATTTAATATCGGATCGGATCGTCCTCCAAAAAGTGATATCGGTACACTCCTAATTTTTAATATACTTTTTATTAGTATAACATCTAATTTAACCAGAGTTGGGCAGGCCCTCCGGAAAAAGAATCTAGATACAGATTCTTTATAAAAAAATGAATCTTAGATACAGATACTAGTATCTTTTTCAAAATATCAAGAAGATACAAGATAAAGATACTTGTATCTTTAGCTAAACTAGAGTATCTTAAATACAAGATACTTTTTATTATCATTACCAATTAAATTAGAATAGTTTATAAAATACAGTTTTTTTTATTTATTTAATGAATATTTACAATAATTAATAAAATATTTATTGATGAATTAATAATAATAACCAGAGATTTTAATATAAGCTTTTGCCCATTAATAGCATAAACAGGAAAGTGAGAGTAGTATATTTAATGTGAGTTGAAAATTTGCAAAATAAAAAAAAATTAAATCAAATTATTATTTTTTCAAATAATTTATCATTGAGCCTTTGCCTTTTTGGCGTATTTAGCATTGTGCCAAAACTAAATAACCTCTCAACAGGAGCTGATGAAGGTATGGCAGTATTATATTTTAAAAAATTTCCTTAATTAAAGGATAAAAATTTAGCATTTCTAGTGTTTTTCGGTGGTCTTTAATATAATTTAAAACCTCGAGCTCAATGTTGTTTGTATTGTTGAACTCAACAACATTTGCTTCACCAAAAGAAAAATAATCATCATTTTCTTTATCAGATACTAAATCTACTGGTGAGATAGCATGAGCTTGATTGTACACTAAAGATGCAAGATTTAAGGCTTCATTTAATAATATTTTTTTTTATTATCAGATTCAATCCATAGGTTCTTAAAATATGGATGTGATAATGATGCCAAAAAGGCCTCATTATATTCATCATCATAAGAAAAAAATTTTCCAAATCTTTTGTCCATGGCATTTTGGACAGCTTTTAATAGAGGTAGACATTATTGTAAACTTGAATGTTCAAGTGTAAACTTGAATGTTCAAGTTTACCTAATTCCCTTTTAACTACAAATAGTATAAGCTCTAATTCCCCATAAAATGTACTACTCTGCCCTTGTAGTTTGTCTAATGCAATTGCTATAGGGCCTAAAACTTTACAATATTCCTCCATATAAACAATATCCATTTCTTTTAAATTAGGACAATCAATTGTTTCAAATAATAATTTTAAATCGGATTTATATTTTAATAATGAAGTCATACTATCATATAAACTGTTCCATCTCGTTATGCATGGAACCTTAAGCTGAATACCACCTGTTATCTCCCTTATCTTTTCAGAATATTTGGGCCTTCCTCATGCATTCCATAATTTTGTGCATTTCCCCATTAGTCCATAATGAATCTTTTCAAGATTCTTCGAGCTTGATATTGATGAAATAATATATTTAGTTGCAATTAAGGACAAAGTGTGGTTGGCACATCTGATGTGCCTGGGTAATATTATTTTGTTTATAATCTAAAAATAAAGATTTTAAAAAAATTCTAAAAAAAATCTGTACTAACCATCATTGATTTCATTAAACTCTAATAGATCATCCTCAAAATCGTTGTCAATAGCATTTAATTTCAAATTGGATGCATTATCTGTGACAGTAGCAATTAGTTTATTAGAAATCCCATACTCTCTATAGACTTCTTCCAATAACTCGGCAATTTTATCAAATGAAAAAGTGCCAGGCATTCTTCTACATGCCAAGGATCTTGATTGCCTTTCAAGGGTTTCTCTTGTTATCTTTGAAAATAATTTATAAAAAAAATTAAAATACGATATAAATACCCAGTGAGCTGTTATTCCCATAAAACTAGGAGTTTTTGTATACCTCAAATCTGCCGTGGTACAAATATATGATTGGGTCTTTAAAATATTTTTTAAAGTATCTACATGATTTTCAAAAATTTCCTCTATTCTTCTCTGCAAAGACCTCCTTGAAAATATTTTAAATGATCCAATATTACTAAGAATATCATATCAATATTAATCTATATAAAATAATCTAACCTTTCATCATTGTAACAAATTCAGGCTGTTCAACTAGGCTCAAAGGATGTAAACTCTTGACAATAAATTCACATATCAATTTATCAATTTTATTTTGGGTAATTGTTGGTTTTATTTTATTATTTGTAATTGTATTAAATGATTCTGATATATTAGGTTGAATCATTTTTTTTATGGTATTAGAATTTGAAGGTTCTTTCTGTGCTGTTTTAAATATCGCTTATATTCAGAGAATATGGCTAAATGACATCTCTAATAAAAAAAATATACTAGTTTTATTTTATTCATTTATCTTTACTAAGTATTTATCACTTGTTTATGATATTTATGTATTTTTTAAATTTTCATTTTCTAATATGATTTATTAATTCTGTCTGTGTTTGTAATATCATATTTACTTATTTTATCATCTTATAAATATCATTCAAATCCCTTTTCAATTTTTTTATATATATTTCATGCAAAATCATTATAAAAAAAATATGAAAATAATGTACAACATTATATTATTTAATTATTAAATACATAACATTCTATTATGCATTCTAAATTGATTAAATTTAGTAAATAAATACTGTAATGTAATTTCTTTTATTTAGAGCCTTTTAAAATTATCTAATGTTATATTATATCAATTGTAGCTTAAATATTTCCTCTGATAAGAGAACTTGTTAAAATAATTAAAAATAAAAAATATATATCCAAAATGATTTTAATTTGATAATCAACCATCTTCTATAAAAAATTTTAAAATAACCATTATCTAAGAGGGACTTAAGTATGTTAATTAATAAAATAAAAATGTATAAATATAATATAATACCTTAAGATGTTTAATAAAATTTGTAGATGAGTTTGTTGATCCTTTAATAACTTTTTTATTTGTACAAGTTTGACATTCCGCTTGTACCTTGTACTTTTTCACATATATTATCATAAAATTTTCCATCTAGGATTTTAAGATTCAGATTTGATTCAGGAGAACCTATCTCCATAATTTCGTCTTCACTATGAATATTAATCATTAAAAATATTATATATAAAATAAATCCTTTACTTATTTAGTTTTAGTGTTGTTATTTTTAATCTATCAAACTTTGTGACCTGTAAAATTTCCAACTAATTTTGGTAATCAATATATTTAAAATAAAGCAGGAAAAAAATAAAGAAAATAATAGATTCCACAAAGAATATAAAGTTACATGGTGTAATATGTAAATGTTTTATTTAAACATGAATATTAAAAAGAATCTGTATCTGTATCTTTGTCAAGAAAATGGAAAAGATACAAGATTCTTTTCAAAATAAAGGATCTTAGATACAGATACTAGTCTCTTATTAAAAAGGTCAAAAAGATACTGAGTACAAGATACAAAAGGATCTTGTATCTTAGATACAAGTATTCGCGGTACTGCCCAACTATGAATTTAACTATACACTTATGTCATTTAAATATATTATAATGATCAGTTATAGTTTATATTTTATTCTATTCAATAAAATATTTTTATTGTTAAATCACTTCTATATAATAAGTAATATATTAATTATATAAATAATAAGTAATAACAAATATATTTGAAATAAATATTTAAAATAATATTTAACATTAATATATCGAAGATTTCTTTTTAGAAATACCAAAATTTCCTCAAAGGTCAGCTTGCGGCGATGGTAACTGTCAATCACCAGCTTCACAAAAAACTGATTCTGAAGTAATTATCGCACACTTTTATAAATAGAATGCGCAAAAAAAAATAACAATATGGCAGAATGTTTATTAATTATTATTATCAAAAAAATGGATTTCGATTTTATATAAAAATAAAAGATTTTAGATATAACTTTTTTTTAAAAATTTTATAACATTTTTTTTGTTAAAGACGCCATTTTATATAGGATCGGATCGAAAATTTTATAATATTGGCAGATAACCGATATTTCAAAATGGGAGAAATATCGGCCCGATCCGATAATAATATATCGGTACATCCTTATTTTAAAGTAAAGCAAAAGACTATGAAGGAGCTTTATAAGGGTTACTAAGTCAAAATGATTCTTTGGGGGCTTCCCTCAAACACCTCTTTTCGTGGCTTTCAACTGGGTTAAAAAGGTTTCACGTCATTACAGAGAAAACAAAAATAGAGAAAATTTTATAGAGAATGACGTTTACTGAGAAGGCACTTCTAGAGAAAATAATTAGAGATTGTAGTTTATGGAGAATAATTTTACAGAGAATGATTGAATTATTTTATAAAGAATTTTATTAAAAGAATATGATTATTAAAAAATGTTATATCTATATAATTTATAACATTTTTGTGTAATTACTTATGCTCTGCATACTCATAAGGGAAAAAAATTTATAGTATTTGTAATATTATAATTACCTTTATAAGCGAATATTTGGGTAGTTTTTATTGTAAGAAAATTATTACAATCTACACAGAAAATTGTTTGATTATATTTGCACAAGGTTCAGTTACTATTTAATAAGTAACTAGCAATAATTACTTCATAAAACATTAATAAAGCTCATCATTGAGATAAAATTTAAATGTTTTTATATCATTATATTTGGTGGCATTAAAATATTAAGAGTTTATAAAATTGACATAATAATATAAAACTATTTTAGAATTTCAGCTAGTTTTATAATCTTACAGGCCCAAGCCAATGCAGATGCCGGATATATTTTTCAAAAATATTATTGTTTATATTAATTAATATTTGTTAATATTTATTCCTATCTCATATTAAATTACATTTATTTATCACATTCATCTATTAAGTTATTTTATCAATTAATTTCGATTTCAAGTTTTCCGGCGTAATATTTACTTATTATTTTCAAATTTTTAATGGCGTAATATTTATCTACCATTTTCAAATTTCTAGTCAAAATAATTATTTAAACTCCTTGTCCAACAGGGAGAAAAAAATTGCAAGCTTGTCCAAAGAGATAGTCTTCGCCATCAAATAATAACAGCTTCTGGAGTTATAAGAGTCGATTATTTGCTATTACTGAAATATCACAATGGGCTGAAAGATTTATTTCCTCAGAAGCAAGAAAATTATTGGAGTATTCCAAATTTTTTTTCTCATTAGAATGTATTATTTAATTATACAACTATATGTAATACTTTTTAAAAACATGACATTCACTTGATGAAAAAGATGAGAATATCGGAGAGAATTTTATTAGAACTCAAGGAAATTAGTGCTAATGTTGAAGAAGAATTTCATATTTTATATGGGAGTGTTTAATATCTGTCTCCCTTGACTTAGAGCAAGGCAAGCTCATCGTTAAAACATTAATATAGGATCAGTAGAAGAGTATTATAAAACAAATATCCTCTCTCTTAGATACATTTATAACCCAAATAAATGGTTTTTAATTCATCATGCAGCACTTACCAATTTGCAGATATTACTTCCACAAAAGTAATACCGATCTTTTTCAGATGGTGATAGAAAAAAAATATTTGTTAGATTTTTATCAAGAAGAAGTTAAAGTATCTTATGATGCATTATTAGCGGAATATTAACTATGGTTGATATAGTCCCAAAAAATGCTATGGATGCTTTGCATTTCAAACACATTTTAGATTATATTCCCAATGTTAAAAGAGTTTATATATATTAACAACTCTTCCCATTAGTAAACTAATGAGAGAACATTCTCCTTTTTAAGAAGAATAACATAGCCCTGCAGAGGTACCATTTGCAGGGCACGGCCCGGATTTTTTTTTAGAATTTTTTACGGCCGGGTTCGGGTTTTTTTAAAATTTTTTTTAGGCCCGTCCCGGGTTTTTTTAAAATAAAATTTATTTCTTTTTGATTTTTATAGCTAATAATAACGATTTCAAATATAGGCTGTTTTAAAATATACAACCCGGCCCGGATATTTTTTTAAAAAAATTTTCAGGCCCCGCCCGGGTATATTTAAAAAATTAAAATACGGTTCGGCCCCCAGGTCTCTGAAAAACATACCAAGAAGTACAAATTCTGAAAGTAGATTGAAAGGTTTGGATCTTTTGAATATTCATAGGCATTTGACGGCAAGCAATGGATTTTACATGTAAATATATACATACAATTATTCCTAAGAAACTTTTTGTGTATTAATTTATATTTCCAACATTTAAATTTTTTATATATATAAATTTTATAAAGGCCCAAAAAATTCAAATTTCTATTTTGGGTCATTTAAGTGATTCTTATAGTGGTTATATTCACTTTGTATTTTATAATTCATATTTATTTTATAGTTTTTTATATGACGGTTTATACATATAATTTTTTTATAATTCGCATAAATTTAAAATTGTGTATTAAAAATAGTTATTAGTTCTAATAAATTTATGCTTGATATTTTTAAAAAATAATATTTCTTAAAAAATTTTATTCCCCCCCGAGACCAAATTCCTGCGTACGCGCCTGTAATCTTATATCATGTTTAAATAAAATTTTAGAAGGTTATAATTATAATAGTATCTAATGGATAGTAGATTCAGGGCTAGCCGGATCAATTAAATTACGTTAAATCGAATATATTATAATTAGACCAGTGCGCCGTCCGATTTTCACTTTGGAAAAAGTATTTAAATCAGTTAGATCTTTTCAGAAGGACGCGGCTCCTGGATTTCAAAGTATCAAACCTTTATTTCTTCAAGATTTAACTACTCCCATCCTCAACAGTCAAACCTCTTTATTGGATAAAATAACTTAATTATGCAACAAGGTCATTAATGGTGAGGTCCCAGATTTCGCAAGGGCCTTCTTTTTTGGAGCCAAACTTGTCGCCCCGAGAAAAAAGAATGGTGATATTAGGCCTATTTCCGTTGGTGAGGAAAGCATGTTCCAAGCTTATAGCTAGCAGGATTTCTGCACAAGTTTATAACATACTTTTTCCTCTTCAATTAGGTGTTGGAACGAGCTCAGTATGTGAAGCAGCTGCACATATAATGTGCAACTTAGTATTTATGCTCAGAATTAGTGAAGGTCACGGTCCGGTCTGGACCGATTTGATTTGTTTTATCATTTTATTAAATATAAAAGTATTATATAAACAATAAAATT